TGTCTGTGTCTGTGTCTGTGTCTGTGTCTGTATCTGTATCTGTATCTGGGATCCTACTGGAGAGTACTCATTTCTGTTCCTGACTGAGGGTGGCTTCCTCTCCCTCCCTAATGAAGATGAGTTCTATTTTGTGCCTTCATCCACATAATAGATCAGTGTGTTGCTGCTGAAGGAAGGGACTGAACTCCTGACCTGAAATGAAAATTTCTCTTTCCAAAACACTCTGCTCCAAATTCTGAGTATATTTATCTCCTATTATCAACTTGATTTAATTTGCAATCAATTTAGACTATTTCATGTATTGGTGCTGCCCTTGAAGACATGAAGTAGGTTTGCTGAATGATGCAATTTAACGATTAGCAACCTCAAAACAGAAACAATGTTTTCAGTTTGGGAACAAAAGTGAGTCTCCTAACACTATCAAGCATGAATTAACTTTACTTTTGAAAATCAGGACTCTATTGAGTATTTTAAGCAAGAAGAGCTAGTTACCAGGTGCTTTAGATTAAACTTTAAAAGTAGAAAGAGTTAATTACCTTTTTCGCCTTCACTTTCAAAGGACAATCTCCTTCTTCGTAGTTTACCGGTGTCCCCTTCAGAATCATTTATAGATTGGGACTATAGCAAAAGATCAGCTTTTGTTAATGAGATTATTCAACTTGAATATAATGTATTATATTATATATAATATACTATATATTATATGTAAAGTGAACTCTATACTGTGTCATATCACATCAACCACTTTAAATATTAAGAATCACATGTTTGGACGGTAGCTACAATAATTTGCTAAGATTGTCTCTAAATTGTAAAACAGATTGACAGAATAATTCTAGTGGCTTCACAATTTGTTTGGGGAAACCATAGTTTTTAGAAGTTATGGGTTAGGAATGTTGAGGTCTGGCATTGTAATTTATAGACAAAACTTTCCACATAAAGGAATATTTTGTATAATATGAAAAACTTTTAAAATTTTAATAATTTAAAAACACAGAAGAACATGTATTATTGCTAGCAAAATGTATGAATTGATTAACAGTAGCCAGGATGCAGAAATTATTTAATAAGGAAAATAAAACTAAATTTTGCAATAAGCATATGGTTGAAGACAATAGATACTGTGTTGAGAGACCTTTAATACACTTGCTTCAGCTCTTCCTCCTCATTTGTGTGTACAACATCAATCTTGTAAATCATACCAGAAGCACCTACACTGTTCATGTGGGTGCCATCTGAATAACAGGTCAAACACATTACCTGAGGCTCATAGTTGCTTTTTAGGCAAGACCAGAATGAGGTTGGTGCCATCGGACTGAGATCACAATAAAGCATTCAATTAAAACTATTATGAGAACATACTTTTAAAAGCTGGAGACATTTTATCATATGTCTTATTTATTTATTTTTTTGTAGGTTCAAAAAAAAGTTAGCTCAGTTAGCTGAATTAGAACACTGAATGGCCACCTGACAACCCTAGAAACAGCTGTTTCTTAAGTCTCTCAGAGTGCCTGGAGATGGTTGCAACTCCATTGGAGACTTAAATCTAACATCTTTTACCTAAATACTGTCCTAGGAAACTTTTCCATAGAATACATATGCAAATACACTGGGTAAGAACCAAGTGCTCAGTGTTTGATTTATGATAAAAGGGCATTTAGAACTGGAATAGAGTTTCTGAAATTTGGGAAACTAACCTAGTAATAAATAGTGAGCTACAATGTAAGTTATCTTTCTACAGGACAGGACTAGATTGTAGATCACAGGTCACAGTGGAGCATAGTAAGAACCACACTCCATAAATCGTTATAGGTTAGGTAATGTGTAGAATTAAAAACACAGTATTATTTCTATTAGACCATATTTTATTCATCTCATAGTCTAGATTTTGACTCTATTGTAAAAGTTAATTCATACTTCATTAATTTGAAAATTAAGTTTATTATTAATCTAAACTTAAATAAGGTTATTATTTTCAATATTACAGGTTAACCAATAGCAAATGATACGGCTGAAATAATAGATGAAGCAATATTTCACTCTCTATGTACGATAAACTCCTTTAAATAAGTTTTAAAATGGCTTGAAACCACTCATTTTCCTACAAATAATATAATGGAAATCAAGACTCTAAGAACTTCCAAAAGTGCAAACTTAGTTGACATTTTAAAGATTATTCAGCATCTTTTAATACTGAATTCCTGACCTATAATTTATTAATTTCAATATTTGGCTGGGCTTTTCTCTTAGTACTTAATATTGATAAATTTTTATTGCAATCTTTTGTTTATTGTTTTCGGAAGCATTTGGCGAATCCATGGATGACATTTTAGTAACTGGAAGGTCAGCAGTGGCCTCTACCTTTGCACTCTCATGTCTCAGGTTGAAAGTCAGTTCTAGGTTAGTCAGAAAGTGGTCAGAAAACTCTGGATACATATCCAAGACCTCCAATAAGTCTTCTCTCTGGATCTTATGCAGGTCACAGTATGTGAGTGCTCTCACATCTGCATTAGACTTGCCAGGCTTGGCATAAAGATGAACCATTTCACCAAAGATATCATTTTTCCCTAAAAGAAACCAAAATGAAAAAGAAGAGGAAAGAAAGAAAAAGAGGAAGAGAAAGAGAATTAATGTTTTCTTTATAAAAGTAGAAAGAGACATTAACCAACTGACAAATCTTTGAACCAGATTTCCAGTGTTAGCACCATTTCCTATACCAGCAGGTGCATGGAGAGCAAAATTCTGTCTTGACTGACCGACTGTCTGGATGTTTGTTGAGTGAAATTCTGTTCTTCTTAAAAGTCATGGGTTCTGTTATAATCTCTTCCATTTCTTTATTTAGGTTCCTTTGTTAAGCAAGTAGGATCTAGAGGATACCTTTATTTTGTTACACTCCTGAGTGCTAGCTATGGATCTTGTCATATGGTTTTCTAAATAGTCTTTCAGGTAGAAGTGTTCTGATGATGTCAGTTCAGGAATATGAAAGGCTGAATTGAACTGGATTCATGCTCTTTCTGTTCAGCAGGATCATGTCTGGAGCTTTTGCCAATTCACAGCTCCATTCCTCAGCATTCACAGATGTGGAAAAGTGATATCAATACACACTGCTTCCTCAAGTCACCAGTTTTGAATCTGCCTCCAAAGTATTTGTCCATTTGTTTAAATTATTTAGCTGTATGTCCTCCACATACATAGTCCGGGTTTGGTCACTTGCTGTCTGCTCTGAACTTTATCCTCTTTGCTCTTCTGCGAATAATGGGAATGCTTCAGTATCTGGATTCTGATGGCCCTCCCATTACCATTGCCTAACCATGTGCTCTCTGATTTTCAGTTTTATTCAATGACAATAGTAAGAATAACCTATATTTTCTGAGGACCATGTAGGTGCCAGGTACTGTGGCAAATGTTTATACAATGCCATATACAAAATTAAAGAGGAGAACTGAATAGCATGAGTTCATTTCTTAGTTGGGTGAAATGGAAGAAGGAAAATTAGCTAGGATTAAAACTCATGCATTTTCACACCAGAATCAATATCCTTACCTGCCTAAGATATCAGACTTCATGGACATTGTTCTGTTTCTGAATAGCAAGGTGTTCACATAGCATATGCCCTTAGTAAATATTGATAGACTACATCTACATCATGAAGACACTTTTTTTTTTTTGGTTTTTCGAGACAGGGTTTCTCTGTGTAGCTTTGGAGCCTATCCTGGCACTCGCTCTGGAGACCAGGCTAGCCTGGAACTCCCAGAGATCTGCCTGCCTCTGTCTCCCGAGTGCTGGGATTAAAGGCGTGTGCCACCCACGCCCGTCGTCATGAAGACACTTTTAAAGGTCATTAGTAGCAATGCAAAATGGTACTTCCTTCCTGAAGCTTCTTTGCAGATTACAATTCTCCTCTGTGTGCATTATGTTAGCTTTTGGTGGATTACCACACATATCCCCTATTTTGGGGAGCTATCAAGGGTGTTTAAACAATAAAGCTCCAACAAGTCAAAAATGCTGGAATGGTCTCATTTTAAATGAGAATTTAATAAGGAAAAGTCAAATACCATATACTAATAATTAGAGAGAAGACATTCAGTCCCATTTAAATAAATACTCAGTAGATTTTGAAAACCATAGTGAATACTATTAATTTTTGATGTGAACATACATGGAAATTGGGACTACAAAGGAGAAGCTTTTGAAATTCTTTAGTTTGGATGGCTTAGTCTAAACATTTTTTTTACATGACTCTGAACTGTATTTGCATGGGGTTTATGTTTTAATTATCTTCTGTGAATATAGATGAGCAAGGAGGAAGCCCTGTGATGCTGAGCAGCACTCTATACTCACTGCTGTTTAAGCACAGAAGCTAGTTGTTTTTCACACAGACATCAGGACAGGCAGGCTTAAAGATCAGCCTTGGCCTTCCTTGGTAACACATTACGACGATCTGTCAATGTCAAATTCAGTGAAAACTTCCTTTTCATAATAAGTGGCCTTGAGGTGACATAGGATGCTTTTGTTCCTTGATTCTTTATTAGTTTAGATATCAAATTGTGTATCTTCTCAATCTGTGAATTTTTTTGACTGTAATAATAACAAAATGATCAAAATGTCAAGGAAATCACTTAAACCTCTTTGTTTGTGTAGGGCATCTAATGAACCTTGCTTTGGCTCTGCCCAACAATAAACAGATAATACCCACCAGTTAATGTTCAGGTGTGAGAACTGAGAGCTGAGTGAAAAGAAGTCATTGACTGCACATATTAATTGAATGATTAATAGATAAGACACTGGGGAATAAACCTGGAGTTTTAACTGTGCTAGGTGAGGCTCTGCCTCCCATCTATGCCTCCAGACCCATGTGCCTAATAGTCCATGGAGCTGTGTATTAAATCTATGCAAAAACTGCATTTTCATAGACACTGGAGGTGGTGTTATTGTGGGGAGGGAGATTTTTTATCCTACAACTATGTGCTCAGAAAGAAAGATAATAGGTTTTTTTTTCTGTTCTACTCTTCATTACCCTAACAGTCCAAAGAAATGCTGTAAGTTCATATAAAGCAGGTTCATTTTTAAAGTGACAGATTGAACTAGACATGAATGCTCCTTTACACTCAAACCCTGTCATCCCTAGTGATGCTGTTATACTCACAGTTTCATTCTATTAAGTTATGACTCCAATTTCTTTTCTAAGGGTATATAGCAGATAAATGAAATTTGTTAAAATATAAACAGCTCATGCTACTGTAGGCTCATGCTAATTAGTCTGTCTACAACATTGCATATTATATTAAGATGCCAAAGGATCAATCATGAAGCCAAGGTCTCACATGAAAAGGAAAATGTCAACTATTTTTGTATGTTTGGCCTCAAATGTCTAAGTAGCTGTCAACAGCTGAAGAGAATCACAGAAATGCTTACATATTAAACAAAGCTTGAGATATGAAAATATGTTTTTGCAAGGTTAATTTGATATGAAACAAAGCCTTAAGATGATCACTGTTAGAGTGCTTACCAACCAATTGGTCTGTTGGACTGTCGTTCTAAATTAATGATTGGAGATGTCATTATTCCGTGCTAAAACACTCACCAAGAATAGCTACCACTATGTCATCCTTGAGGATTTCGATGGAGCCTCTGGATAAGAAGTACAGTGCAGTTAGGACATCCCCACAGTGGACTAGGGTGTCTCCTGGAGGGGCGTGGGTGGTTTTGAACTTCATTGCCAAAGCTCTAAGGCAGCCTTTACTTGCTCCTCGAAAGGCTTTGCAGTTTTGCAGCAAAGTCTGGTTTAGATGCAGGCAAATGTCAGCTTGTAAACATTCTGGAAATCCCTTTAAGACCTGGAAGGAAAAAATAAAGAGTTTGATACTACCAGAACACCAGGCACTTCAACTTGAAATAAAGTCAATTTCTTGCTCACAGATCTGAAGATGCAGTAACTGTCCGAGGGAGATTTTATAATGCATCTATCTTGCTTCCCTTAATGAATATTTGGTTTGCTAAATATGTCAGAAGTTTTAGCTCTGTATTGTTCTGTGAATTAACTGCAGCATTCAATTCAACACAAATGCTGTCTTATTAAAATGTAATGCCTACACATTTCTCATTACTTCTCTTCGCCTGCACTAAGTTATGCACTATCATATTGTGCATAGATGTAATGCAATGCGACAATCAAAAGGACACTGCTAAAAGGCAATACAACTCAAAAGATGAGAAACCTTTTGAAAGAACTTAAAATAAATTTAAATCGCCATCATGGGCTTACATCTTAGTTGATGCAGCTTTGGTATTTGCAAATATAACTGATGCAATGTTCTTAGTCAACTCTGTCTTGAATAGTCATATTTCCTATACATATTTTATACTGAATATTTTGACAAACACTGAAAATAAAAGAAAGGAGAACAGTTGATGTACTTTGAAAGTAAAATTTAATTTTTAGTAATAGAAATGATGCTACTTTTGAAAACTTACTGGTTAATTTAAAAACCAAGGAACAGATTTAACAATAATTGTGATAAATGTCCCTCAGTTTGAATGGAATAAAGTGCTATTTTACAAAATTATCAGTATGCAATGGGTTGGGGACCGTTTTCTTTAATTCTTTAAGTCTTATTCTCTGGCGTGTCATGTAAAGGCTTTTGTTTTTATACTGACTTTTCCCTCTAAGAATAAACAGGATACTTTGGGGCATATGGAGGGATCATTGAACAGAACAATTTACAGGGTAACATTGCATTTAGAGATTTTTTCTTGTTCTTAGTTTTGTTGGTTCAACCTTAGTATTTAATTCAGCATAATAAAAAATAATCACAAATTGGCCATAAGGCAATTCAAGCATACTTAATCCATAGACTTCAAATTTAATTCATTTGAGTCAAACTATATTGTCAGTATTTGAAATAGTAAAACAACTACAGCGACCCAACTTCTACAAAGCTACCATGTGTCATAGCTGCTGAATTGTGAATCCTAGTCATTGGCCAAGCAGCATTGTACCTAATACAAGTTTCTGTGTTATTCATTTGGGTCTAACTCGAGCAGGTGGCTGGTGTAAAGCTCACGTGTGGGGGTGGGGCTTAGGCGGCTTTTGGCAGAAAGATTTATCGTAACAGAATTGACTATGGTATAATATGAAAGGCTCATTAATATATGTGAAGCACAGCGGCCACATTTTTGTTATTGTTTTAGTCACCTACAGAGAGTAAAGTATATTTTGGAAGAAAATCTATGGAATTAAAAATTTTCATAAATATGCCACAATTTGACTCTTGTGCAAGTCACTTCACCCATCCAAGTTTTGTTTTCCCTACAAGATTAGAAGCTTCACAATACAGATTTAATTATAGTATCACTGCATAGTGTGCCAGTTATCAAATTCTGCTTGCTCAGCTCCACACTGCCAACACTTTCACTGCTTGACTTGTGTCCAGTAGAATTTGAGCCTTCCTGATGTATGAGGTTTTGGGTATGCCTCCTCAAACTTCCTCTTACCTTTAGCTTCTGGTTCCATCAGTCTTAATAGACCCCTCCAAGTTTCCCTGCTAAGAATGCTTCTTGTCTCTGAAGCCTAGTGCGTTTATCTTAGTCTTATGAAATCCTACATTAATTTATGTTTCCTCATGGAACCAATGGATGACTGCTCTCTTCCATCATCTACATTTGAAATTATTACTTTGAAATTATTCTTTGGCACGTTGTGCCAAGCTGGAGATGACCTTAGTTTGGACACTGTTTTCTGAATTAAGAGCCACTTTCCTTAAACACATTTCACTGGTTTCTGCATGTGTCTTTTTTCCTCCCTTCAAAGCCCCTTTTGGAATCTCAGCATAACTCTTAATTAACCCCAGTAGGATATAGATGGATAGAGCACTACACCAAGTAACAAGTTAGACTTTTTCTTTTAGGGAAGGTATTTGTCTTGTACAGCTGGAATGTGATTCTGGCAGATTCCTTGAAATACCAGAATATAGTCAAGCCATCTTGCTTCTGTGTGTTTGTGTATGCTAATGTGTGTGTTAGTGTGTTTTGAGTTGTAAGACAGAGAGGAGGTGAAGATGGTATTCTGTCTTTTGAATATGTCATATGAGCTACACAGTTTGATGAGCATAGGCTGAAGTTATTGATCTTTCTCTTGCCAGTTCTGAGTTGGTGGGTATTTAACTTGTCTGTGACTCAGTATCTTATTTTTCAAAATTAAGTTAATAACATTTGCTTCACAGAGTTGTGACCACAATTCAATATAATAAAGTATGTGAAACATAAAGTTGATTGTCAATTCACAATATATTTCTGGATTCTTGAAAGAAAAAAACTGAGTACAAATTCCCCCCCCCCCATTAACAGATACATTCTCTTTAACTAGTTTTGTTCTCTGTTAACTGAGCAGAGTTTCAATGTTTTGTATTCTAGGCATCATTAGTTTGTAGATCCAGTCACCCCGAGTTTCTCTATAGTCATATTTCCTATTTCTTTTAAGTGTTCTGGTTCTTGTGGATGTAAGCTTTCACTGTGACTTGTCTTAAATTAATACTGAAAATAGTCAGCTAATGTAATATATTACAACCTTATTTTAGAATCCCAGTCATCCTGGAACTCCTCACAGAACCTGATGGTCACTTGGGAAAGTTTCAAGGCTAAATGGTCTAGTTTTAGTCTTCATTCTGCTAGACTGGAATCCACTGAAAAGGATTATATTCTGCTGGAGACATCATAGAGCCTTGTTGTCACAGGAGATGATTATATAGACATCATAAAAAGGCTGTCCATATACAGAAGTCTTGTGTGATCTTAATCCTTAACTGACTTTCTTAACTATCTTAATTTAATCACGTGATTTGCTTGACTGAAACTGAGTAAGACTTGAAATTTGCTTGTTGGATCTCAGAGTAGTCCACTGTTTGGGTTTACCAAGTAGGTCAATGGCTTTAGAATTTGTGTTTAACTTCATAAAGAATTTTTAATGGATAGTTAACAGTTTGGAACATGAAAAGTACATTTTTTCAAAAGAGGTAAGTAAGAGGTAGTTTCAAATTGGTGTTTATGCAAGACACCTCATTCACTCTTTCTGACTGAGTTGCTGTCATCCTTTCCTACTTACTGTACTACTTTTTTTTCTCTGTGTTTGTTTCCTATGTTAAACTTTCTGAATTACAATCTTTTCATTTACCACTGACCTCTCACATCTTAGCAGGCCTTGTAGATTCAGAAAAAAAATTGGAATATAAAATAGCTAACTACAAATCAAGATACAAGCTTGCTTGATGACAGTTATATCTCTAACCATGGTGTCCTGCATTCTTGGCTGTCAAATTACGATGCTGCAAAGGTATGTGTCACTGTCTGCTGTGTATCTGGTGCTATTGTTTTATTGAGTGAATCCCGTGTTAAAAACCAAGAAGCATCACCCACAAGCTGCCAAGTGTCCTGCACCTTAGAAAAGCAGTTCTTGTCTTTTTAGCACATATTCATTGACGTATTTACTCATTTAAATATTTAAATAGCACCAGACTCTAGGCTCAAATCATAATGGATAAAATGTGTTCTGAAAATATATCTAGTCTTTATGACAGATGCAACAATTTTTACAGGTCTGATCAGAATTAGCCACACTGTCCTCATGTTAAAGTAGGACATTTATAATGTGCATTTGTAATTATAATGGACATTCATGGAACCCTCAAGTAGCAGTTAATCTGAGGTGAGTTGAAGTCCTAATCTAATTTTTCTAACACTGCTACTGTAGGACAAATTTTTAAGACTTGCTAAAGTTGCAGAAAATGCTTCTCTATGTTGAAAGGAATCACATACCTTTATTATGTGTGATGTAAAGCCATTCATGTTTTGCCTTCTCTTTACTTGAAGCTATGTAAATAAAAATCTGTGATTCTCATAATGAAATTATAGCTTGCATGAGAATTTTCTCGTTAAATCTAAAATACTCACTGTGATGACTATGTAAGTTTTGTAGTTTACTGCTTGTGAGCCCCAAATGTAAAGACCATTGAACACGATGAACCCACTAATAATACTTCAGCATTATTAAAGTCATTTTAAAAAATCACACAAAACAAAGGGAGGGCAATATTATTACCTAAGAAACATCTATGAAATGTGATCAGTAATTAATTCAGAAGCATCTGACTTCATGATAGATTTCCCTAACAGCTGTTTATGCTAATACATTGAAATGTCATGACAATACACTCTTGTTATGTGTACTTATACTAAACAAGCCTTATAGCATCTGATTGCATGTTTGACATTAGCACCAGCCTAATGCTTGATATACACACTAGTCAAAGTGATATAAAATTTTAAATTAATAAATCCCATATAATTTTTAAATCAATAACAATAAAACAATTATGCTATGTATTGGGCCACCAACAAAAAAGAAGTTAGGTCAATTCTGATGACAATATAATTTAAGAACTATATCATAGGTGTTCTTGATAGTTTTATGTGACCTTGACACAAGCTAGAGTCACCAGAGAGGAGGGAGCCTCAATTGAGAAAAATGCTTCAATAAGATCAGTAGGCCTAGAGGGCAGTTTCTTAATTAGTGATGATGTGGGAGGTCCAGCCCATTGTGGGTGGTACCACTTCTAGCATAGTGGCCCTGGGTTCTACAAGAAAGCAGGCTGAGCAAGCCATAAAGAGTAAGCCAGTAAGCAGCACTTTTCTATGGTCTCTGCCTCAGCTCATGCCTCCAGGTTCCTGCCCTGTTTGAGTTCCTGTCCAAACTTCTTTCAGTGATGAACAGTGATTTGGAAGCATAAGCCAAGTAAACCCTTTCCTCCTCAATTTGCTTTTGGTTATGGTGTTTCATCACAGC